GATGTTTAAATGGCTATGGTGTAGTCTACCTGACTTCAGCAGAGCCTCTGACACCTGGACTCGGTGCTGGTGAGGACACACCTTGAATCCTGTGCTCAGTTCTGGGCCCTCAGCTCAGGAGGGACATTGAGGGGCTGGAGCAGGTCCAGAGCAGAGCAACGAGGCTGGGGAAGGGACTGGAGCACAAGTGGCATGAGGAGAGGCTGAGGGAGCTGGGGGTGTTCAGCCTGGAGAAGAGGAGGCTCAGGGGAGACCTTCTCACCCTCTGCAACTCCCTGACAGGAGGTTGGAGTCAGGTGGGGGTTGGTCTCTTCTCCCAGGCAACCAGCAGCAGGACCAGAGCCAATGTGGGAAGTGTGATGCTTTTGCAGAAGCTCAGCCCTGTTCTTGGGTGAGGAGGGGTGAGCTGGAGGTGCAGTGAGTTTGTGGGGTCTCAGCCTTGTCCTTGCATGGCCAACGTGGGAGGTGTGATGAGTTTGTGGATGAAAAACTCCCTGGTGGGGCAGGTCTGGTCTCACCACGGTGGATTGTTGGGGTGTCCTGTGCAGGGCCAAGAGTTGGACTGCATGGTCCCTGTGGGTCCCTTCGAGCTCAGGATGTTCTGTGATTCTGCATATATATATATGAGAACAAACAAACATTAAATCTCAAATGTTTCTTCTTTCTTCCCAAAAGAAGAAACACTTCCCATTCCGTATCAATGAAGTTTGTCTCTATGCATTGTCAATTCCTGGCAATGCAGAGTAGTAACAGAGGACACTCAGTTTACCTGTGCTTTAGCTGTGGCTGCATCCAGAAACAAGATCTTCCTCTGTGAGTATTTATAATCCATGCCCTGGGCAGAGAAACCCAAAATTTCTAGGCTTTTTTGCAGTTAATGGATTCGTGATTTCCCATATCCATTCTGTCCTTGTTGTATTTCCAGGCACTTTAGTATCCCACTGAGTTGCCTGGCTGCTGCTGAGGGATTATTTTACTTTTCATAAGACAGTAGTAACCATAAAATATCCTTACAACATCCTTTTCAACTGAACTTCTCTATCCTTGCCATGTAGGAACAAACATGGGCAAAGCTGAAAGGATTAGTGCTGAGTCCTACTGGTTGTTTCTTCAATTCTGTATGTGCCAAGTAGAAATATCAATACTTTCTTTTCTCCACTTCTTGTCTGGTGTATTTAAACCTCATGTTTTCCAGGGCAGCATTTGTCTTCTTAGCTGTTTGCACAATGCTTAGTGCCATGTAACTGTGAGATAGAGTCCCCAAAGCACTTCCAAACAGCTGCTAAGTTTACCTAAGGATACAAGAGTGTGTTGGTACAAGAACAGAACTTGATTTATTCTACTTGCTGTGTGTGCAAGTCACTTTCCAAAAGGACACAGCCTAGCTGTCCTAAGTCATTAGCATTGCACAGGGTGAAATTTCATCAAGAACAGCTCCTTGCTCATCTTTAGGTCTAGAAAACATGTCCTATGAGGAAGGGTTGAGGGAGTTGGGTTGGTCAGCCTGGAGAAGAGGCTCAGGGGTGACCTCCTGGCTCTCTGCAACTCCTGCCAGGGCTGGAGAGAGGTGTGGGATGTGTGTCCTGCCAGGGCTGAGGGAGAGGAGAGAGGGAATGGCCTTGAGCTGAGCCAGGGCAGAGTCAGATTGGATGTGAGGGAAAAAAAAGTTTCATTATTAGGGTGTTGAGGCCCTGGAATATTGCCCAGGGAGGTGGTGCAGCCACCATCCCTGGAGGTGTTTGGAGGTATCTGGATCTGACACTGCAGGATCTGGTTTAGGGTTTAGGGATTACAGCAGTGACAGGTTAATGGTTGGACTCAATAATCTTTGAGATCTCCTCCAACCTTGATGTTTCTATAATTCACGTGGCTTCAGGCAGATTTACACTTTGGTAAACCAGCAGAGAGGAGGGTTGGAGTATATATATGTGTCCATATGTGTATATGGAGTGTATACATGTGTCTCTATCTACACAGCTGTGCCAAAAGATAGGCTCAAGATAAGTTCACACTTTTAATTTCAGGCATTATTAGTTTATAGTCTTAAAAAAAAAAAAAAAAAAACCCCCCACCCCAGCCATTAATTAAACCAGCAACCCTTGTGGCCCAATAAACAGAGCTCATACACACTGATAGCTTTATATTGACAACAATGCTCTCCATATGCTCAGGAAGGTTACAGGGCACATTTCCACCTAAACAGTCAAGACAGTGGACTTCAAATATTTGGAAGAAATGTTTATTTAACAACTGAATACATGCTAAAAGAAATAATTTACAGCAGCAGTTTAATTACATTTTCTTTTTTTTTTTTCTCTCCAGTTTTCTAGTTCCCATCTGAATTGAAGTGATAAATACAGAAGGTGAATTATTTACTACCCAGTGAGGAATGTGTTCAAAGAACAAGCTCCTAACTCAGCCACTGATATAGCAAATAAACCACTTCATCACCTGTGTGGCAAAATCTTGCTTTTTTTAGCCTTTTTTTGCTGAACACACCGAAATGGAGTACCTCTAGATAACAGTACTTTACACTGTACCTCCTTATCTAGCCAAAAATATTTACATCTCTTTCGACTAATGTGTAGGTAGCAAAAACTGAACTATTAAACACATACCATTGATAGCACTAAATAATACATAAAAAGGAACAGTAAATGCGCATTCACATGCATTTAATTTAATTTTATTCTCTTTACATAGTGACTTTATTGGGCCATGAAGTTTTAACTTTGTTCTGCAAAGATGCACATTTTCTCAGTTTGGTGTTATGGTTTAACATAATCATTGAGTTTTTAGGAGCCATTGAACAAATTCCCATGTCAGTGATCTAAGCAAGTGCAAAGTGTAGATGAGAAAGAATAAGCTTCAATGGGTTTTTGCTCCTTGCAGATGGATATCTTAAAACAAAGAAAATAGATCTTTCTGGCTAAAATGAAATCCTTTATTTCTCTCCAGCTTGAACACAACTCTTTGCTTCCTTTTTCTAAAGTCTGTAACTAGAGGTTTAGAGGGTTTTATTGACAGTTTACAGAAATATCATTTTAATCTTTATCTCCAAACTTTGTGTTGCTTTAGACAACAATAACACACATGGGGGTATGAATCTTCCTGAAGCTGCAGGGCATCTTTCTATACATGGATTCATTAAGGCCTATGCTCTTCAAAAAAAAAAAAAAAAGTTCATTTCACATCAGTATTAAATGCTGTTCTAACTTGACCATAATATGAACCTGAAAAATCAAAAATTTCCAGTGCTGATTTCATCTTCTGCCTTCTGATTTCTATAAGCAAATATAAAGACTTAAACAAGGCTACTCATGTTGGTGAGGATTGAAGTTTGTAAGACCTGATCAGATCAATAACCCAAAATATTGTAATTTTCTGAAATATTACTGAAATTACAATTTTTGCTATAGAAAACAACCACATGTTAGAATTCTGACTCAATTTAATATGTTTCTTCTTCAAGCATCATAAAAGATGTTGGTTTTGGTTTGATTTTTTTTCAGCAAGTTGCTATAGAACCAGTTGCTATGAGCATGGTAGAGAAATAAAAGCAAAGTTACAGAGCAGTGCCATTAGTATGTAAAAGAGGAAACAAAGTAATTTAGGGTATATTGAAATCAATCTGTATTTTTCCTGTTGAATTCTCTGAGGTTTACTTTAAAGCTGATTCCTTTTCTAAGGAAGAGGATTGCAGGAACTAGAAGGTACACAATAGCCCAACATAACAGGCTAAAGAGTGTTCTGTGATCAAAATGAAATAATTCAGCTGACAATGCTCAGAAATTAATCAGAGGCTGAGCTGAAAAATTGATACTTCTGGACAGACAAGCACAGAGCTGAACATATGTTTCAATTCAGCTCTCTTCAGCATATCACAAAAGCATGGGAATTTTAACAGCATATTAGAGTTCACAAGAGTCAGGTTAAACATAAGAGACTTAAAGTTGCTTTAAAACTGAATTCCCAAGAGCTTTCTTAAACCATGGCCCTGCAGCCTCGTCCTGGTTTATTCAATTTTTTTGCTATAGAATTAAATGACAAAAAAAAAACTAATCTTGTGAGTTCATCCTCTGCAAAAGATTCAAAGGGGACAGAAGTCCCCTGCAAAAGATTCAAAGGGGACAGAAGTAACTGGGCTGTGAGTGCAAATCCAATTGCTATGGAGGCAAGAAGCCAAGGCTTCACTAAACAGGAGGATACTTGAATTACTGAGTGCCAAGGAGACTGGGGAGAGTTGTGAGAGAAGCTGTCGCAGCAGTTGTGCTATATAAGGCTGATTGATAGTGTAGCAATTGATAAATTAAATCCCCTGGAGTGAATAACAACAAAACAGATCAGTCATCAGTGCAGACACACTTTTCTATAAAAGCTCCTTTAGCAAACGAAGGATTTTGTTCTAGCAATTTTCCCCACAATGACATTACTGGAGGTGATGCCATTTACAGACTCTACCAAGATAAAGTATGGGAGGCTGGAGAAAGATGATCTCAAAAAGAACTGGACACCATAGAACTGGGGACCAAAGGCACATCTGTGCTGAGGTGAATAAACCCACTACTTATAACCCTAAACTGACACTTATGGTGCAAGTACATTGTCTGTTTTACCCTGTTGCTCTCCTGTATATAGAATAAGACAGAAGTGCAGGACCAAATTAGCTGTTACTACAAACTAGTCTTAAGCTGAACTTCACCAATTTACTACTGCAGCAGATTTCACCCACAGGTAAAACTGTCCCTCAGAGCTTCAAATGGGGAACTGGCTTTGAGGTTACTAATGACATGGTCTAGTGCTGGTTCTCTGCCTTTGGGTGATGTGGCCCACAGAAAGATTGGAGCACTGAGAATCAGTAGTGTGGACATATTTCTACCACAGAGCTGGGAACACAACTCCTGAAACTGAATGTGAGCTTTGCTCATGGACAGTCTACGAGCCACAGGATTTAAATATCAGCATTCAGGAATATTTACGAACCAAGAAAGCAAGAGTGGAATTAGCAGAAGATATTTTAATGCTGTTTGCTTTTTCTTTTCGTTAAAAAAACCTAAAAATATACAACTGAAAATCAATGCTTTCCCCTTCATTGGTTCAGTCCATAGCAAGGTATTATACAAGTGGAATTGTTTCAGATACCATACTTAGAAAAACAATGCAGAATACTTCCATGCTATACAGTGACTTTCATGGTAAAATAGCTTACTTTTAAAATTGCTTTGAAGTTACATGTCATATAGATTACTGCAAGGGGAGGAGGTTAACTGCAGTGTGACTAGCTCCCCTGGAAGTTTTTTCCAAACAAAAGAGTAAAGCAGCTCATAATTGGAACTTGTCTTTTTTTTTTGCTTCCTCTAAACCAATAATTAGAAAGTACAATATTTCTAAGACAAAAAGTCTAATCTATTTTAGAAAGGAGCTAATGTTTGCTGCATATTTTTCATGGTACATTTAAATTATAAGTTTTAATAAAATACATCTTTAGATCAAAGCTGAAAGAAGTCATCAGTAGTAGGCCAGTGTACTCCACTTAGTTTTTTGTTCTTCCAGATGATGGATGGCTTATGTTGGTCAGATTTCCACAAACAATCTCATTCAGTATTGTTTTTCCTCTTCTAGTACATATAAACAGGAGAACTGGTAGACAAAACAAGAGCAAAATCCTTGTGTCCAATCACATGTTTAGACGTTCACCAGCTTAATGAGTTCATGCAGTTTTATATATAAGTCTAGAAATGGTAGTGCTGATGATGAAAGGTGAGGGGTTGTCTCTCTTTTCTGTAAGATGACAGCATGAAACAGCATTTTGTTTTCATCTCTGGCAAAAGAGAAAGCAAAACTTGCTGCTGAATACTTGCAGAACTTTTTTGAGCAGTAAGTTAGGTCCAGGTGAGTTATTATCCTTGAAACTCTGGTCTTTGTGGTCTTAGAGCAGAGAGGAAGGACTTGCTAGGAAAGTTAGAAATGGATTTTATTTAAACCTAGTGGAAATTGTTTGAGCTTTCCACCCTTGTAAACATCCACATAATGCCATGAAAAAGTTCATGAATATTGCATTTTTTTCCAGTTATCTGTCTATACAAGTTTCTACTTGGATGAGGTTCCTAGAGGTAATGTTGCTCAGACACTCCGTGGTGCCCTCTCAAATTCATGGGTCCTCCTGTTCCTACCTTTTTTATTCTCTTGTAGGTGCTTCCACTTATTTGTGTTCACCTGGGCGTTGGCAGGTCTCTGCCGGCGTTGTTTGCGGTCTCTTTTCCAAACCTGCTCACAGAACTCATCCATCGTGTTGAGATTGGGGTGATTGATTAGCTGCATGAAGTCTCTATACCAGATCTTTTGACTGGGGGTCATGCTGTTGGTAGCATCTTTGCTTTTGGAAGCATCACCATCTTCTTCTTTATGGAGCAGCTCTTCCAGGTGGTCAGTATCGATCACTTCCAGGGTCACTTTGAGCAGAGTTTGCATGAAGCCATGCTCCACAGCATGGCAAAAGTAGACACCAGAGTCTCTCCTGTGAAGACTTCGGAGCAATAGGCCTTGTTCTGTCCGGATTATGTGATCATTCACTTTTATCTGCATTGGGAAAAAAAAGGGGTAATTTCAGTAGTTATCTTTCATATATGTGTTGCATTATCCTCTCACCGTATTAGTTCCTCAGTACTGCTCCTTTCAGCTGGTAAAACTTGGCCAAAATTTCCCACACTCCCAAAAATGGAAAACCCTTTGCCAATCATCTGTAGTTATGAAAGGCTCAAGATCTCTGGAAAAATTGATGTACTGCAGAGTTTGGGGAGGAGTTTACTCCTTAGCCACTACTGCGGCTGAACAAAGATCTGTGTCAACTTTGTCAGATGGACTTGCTGATAAGATTAGAGAAGATGCAAGACTGTAATAGCAGTCAGCATGGATATTTCTGGCTCTGTTACCAAGGTCACAGTTATCACTAACACAGAACCAGAGAATCATCAAGGTTGGAGGAGACATCTCAGATCATTGAGTCCAACCATGAACCTGTCACTGCTGGAACCCCCAAACCTAACCCAGATCCTCCAGTGCCACATCAGACACCTCTGAAACACCTCCAGGGATGGTGACTGCACCACCTCCATGGGCAATATCCCAGGGCCTCTACACCACAACAGGGAAAACATTTCTCCTCACATCCAATCTGAATCTCAATTATCTTTTAGCCAAACCTAGATCTATTAGTAGGAAAGGTTCTTAATCTTCCTACTGTTCCTCACGACAAAATTCTTATGCATAGAAGTGGGTTCTGCATAAGTGGAAAATTTACAAAGAAACAATAAAGGATTAAATCTCAAAGTGTCAATATTCAAAAATTAGCTGTTGAACAGACTGTATGTTTATGAATTAATTGACAGCTAGAATGTAACTTCATCCTCTGGATGCACATGTTGCTGCAGGCAGAAAGGGCACAAACCTGTTTGCTGCTCTCTTCACCAAGAATAAATTCAAAACAGTTTACTATTATGCAAACGAAACAAAAATATTTACAGTTGCCAATGTAACTATTTAGAACATGCTTTAAATATATTTACTAATACTTCAATGCAACAAACAAGTTCATGTTTCCTAGCTCGATCTCCCTACCTATCTACCAGAGTATGGTATTCTAGGGGACAAGGAGTAATGGGTTCAAATTGAAGGAGGGGAAGTTTAGGTTAGATATTAGAAAAAAGTTTTTTACTCTAAGGGTGGTGAGACCCTGTCCCAGGGTGCCCAGGGAGGCTGTGGCTGCCCCAACCCTGGCAGTGTTCACAGCCAGGTTGGATGAGCCTTGAGCAACCTGCTCTGGTGGGAGGTGTCCCTGCCCAGGGCAGGGCTTGGGGCTGCATCATCTCTAAGGTCTATTCCAACTGCTAAATTCTGATTCTATGATTTTATGATTCTCCTAGGCTATGTGTGACCCAGCTTGATAGTAACATGACTTGAAAACTTGGGTAAGTAATGACAAAAGAATGTTGGTGACAAGAAGGAGGAAAATAAAGTATCAACTTAGTGTAATGCAAACAAACACTACAACTCCTTCCAGAGTTGGAGAGAGGTGTGGGATGTGTGTCCTGCCAGGGCTGAGGGAGAGGAGAGAGGGAATGGCCTTGAGCTGAGCCAGGGCAGAGTCAGATTGGGTGTGAGGAGAAATGTTTTCCCTGTTGTGGTGTTCAGCACTGGGATATTGCCCAGGGAGGTGGTGCAGTCACCATCCCTGGAGGTGTTTCAGAGGTGTCTGATGTGGCACTGCAGGATCTGGGTTAGGGTGGGGGTTCCAGCAGTGACAGGTTCAGTTCATGGTTGGATGATCTTAGAGGTCTCCACCAACCTTGATGCTTCTATGAAACAGGGAAAGTCCATGGTTTTACCTCTGAAAACATTGATGAAACATATGTACAAGTTCTCATACTCTTGTGTCCACTACTGATCTCAATTCCTCATTCTGTCTGTGTCTTACCTGCAGTCAAGTCTTAGAGCAGCACATCAGATGCTCCTCTTAGTTTATGTTTCAATCAAACAATATAATTAGACTTATCTTCTATGAAACAGGGAAAGTCCATGGTTTTACCTCTGAAAACATTGATGAAACATATGTACAAGTTCTCATACTCTTGTGTCCACTACTGATCTCAATTCCTCATTCTGTCTGTGTCTTACCTGCAGTCAAGTCTTAGAGCAGCACATCAGATGCTCCTCTTAGTTTATGTTTCAATCAAACAATATAATTAGACTTATGTAGTTAGACTTTTTCTTGAGGGCAGCTTTAAGGTCTTTGTGATACAGAAGTTCATATAATCCTTGTCTGACGCTTTATGTATCCTATGTATGATGTGAAACTTACACATCATGCTAACTTTTTGTATTTCTGAGATCTCTAACTGAAAACCAGTGCATTTTCAGGGAGTCTGAGCAAGGAGAGGGATAGGAATTGCTTTCTTCTGCAACAATCTGTAAAACCTGTTAGAGAGCTTAGAGGATTTTATGGTGATAAAAGTAAGAATCTGCTGAAAAACAATGGAATTGATAAGATTCCAGTGAAATTCTGCTCAACTAAAATTATTCTGGGAAGGTCTCAGATTCAAGTCTACCTTCATAGAGAAAACTAGTTGCATCTGTTTGTTTTTTCCCTACTGTACCTCTTCCTTGCGATCATCATTTTGCTTCTGGAACTGCCAGTAGACTACAGCACGCTGAGATTTTGGACTGCACTCAAGGAAAGTGCTGCTATTCTCCACTCCATAGAAAATCTTTTCCTCCAGGGTCTGACCACTTGGGTTATCTGTAAGGCAAGAAAAAAGAATTAAAATTACTAGGGAAAAAAAAGCCCATTGCTAAGCAAATTGTTTTATTTAGAAATTTGGTTTCCCTAAAGTGTTTAAAGATCAAAACATAGAGAAATAAATTCCTCATATCAATATGCCAGTTGGAAAATCCTCTATATTTGTAAGGATTCCTGGTAGGTCTTGTTGTTTTGGTATGGTTTTTTAATTGTATTTTAAATCCTACCAGCTGTTAACATCTGAAGTTAATGCATTTAATTGGGAAATTTTCTGTAAACCTCATTATTATTCATCAAGGAAAACATCCAGGACACCACCAGAATTTTGACTAGCAAACTGTGCAAGGAGAAAAACTCAGGGTGTAGTTGCAAAATGTTTGTAATGATGCCTCCTGGGCTCTACGGTCATAATACTTAGAGCAAAGTAATAAAACATGAGGCTATTTAAAAGTAGTATAATGTGTTTAGATTATATGGCACTGCAGTTTGCTGAAGCTGTTAATGACCAGGAATAATGTTTTTGAGGAAATGATCTTCAATTAATCATTTCCTCTCATACTGATATAATTTATGGAAATGTAATGAGGTTAATAAACCAGACATAATGGGAAGGGGGGGGGGAAAAAAGAAAAGTTAAATAAATGACTTCCTTTTGTAACAATAATATTACAAGGAAAGAAAAGTTAAATAAATTACTTCCTTTTGTAACAATAATATTACAAGATATTCATCAGCTTGCTGGAAATATCACATAGCTATAGGACTTAGATGGTATTTGATTCTCCTCCAGAGCTGCAGAGGCTGTAAGGATCATGTTTCAACTCTCCACCTTAGCTCCTTAAAATGCTGCTATGGATTTCAGAGCAACAGAACAATCATCTGGGAGAGCAAATGAGGAGAAAGTAGTTGGCAGAGTATTTAACACTGTGCTGGTCTCCTGGAGTTTCCTGACTCTTTACCATTCCTTGTCATTCTTCCCATTTTCCACTTTTTACCTTTAGCACAGGAGGTCTTTAAGGAATGAATTTTGATATGTTTCAAGAGGAGGATGATGTCTAATTAAAAGTCACTCAGAGAAACCCTTTGTCCAGTTTCGTTTGCTCTCACCGTGCTACGATCACACTGGTTGTGTTGTTTAGCAAACACAGGCTGTTTGCTACATAACTGAGCCAAAGGCAAAAAGAAACTTGAGCTCCTGGTTTAGATTGAGACAGAATCATAGGCCTTTCCACAAGGACTTGCAGCCCTGAGAGAGGATGGGAGAAGGGACGTGGGGCAGAATGGGAACTGGTGCTTGCCCAGTACTCAGTGAGGAAACATCAAATGGCCTATTAACACTAAACAAACAGGAACTGGGTTTGCTCTTTTCCCCTCTGCTGGATTGTGGATGTTTTTCAGCAAGTAAGTGTGGTGTTCTATAAAAAACTAAGTGAAACCCCTTTTATGAGAGCTCTCAGAAACCACATTCCCATGAAGAATGTCAGTGCAGCTTTGGGTCAGGAAAATGGGGAGCAGTGGAGGAATGAGTTAGAAAGCAAAGCAGCAAGAGAAGGGTAAGACAGATGGAAGAGAATGTAGCCAAGGGTACTAGGGGTAAGGTCTGAGATGAAGCACAGGTGAACTTGTGTCAACAAAACAGAGGAACTGGAAGAATGTGAAGATTTTAACTGAATATAACTAGAAGTGATAAGATAAAGATTGGAAATGGGAATCATTAGCTACCAACTGATGGGTCCAGATTCAACACTGTGACTGGCTGAGTGGTGCACTGACTCTTCTGTTTCAAGTTAGACACTCTAATTTAGGAACAGAATTCACAGGGCTGAGAGGCAGCCAAGGATCCCTACCCAGTCCGAGAGAAGCTTTTTGATATCTGAACTGGGATCCACAACAGATAGCACATACAGGGCTGCAGCATAAGACAATCAGTAGGAAATGTCCCTTTTTATAGCCTGGAACACATATGTTAGCACTCCAGCTCTCTGGTTCTGTGAAACAGTGATTTGGAGGCCTCCAGAATAAAGGATGGAAATGCAGGGATTTCACCCTAGGATGCAGGCTCTGTTTCAATTCCTCTCCCAGACTCCATGAATCATCATTGCAGAATGGCCCAACTTCAACAGCAGCAATCCAACAGTTTGGGTGTTTGTGTTGGAAGTAGAGCTATCAAGCTAATTTCCTAAGCCTAAATGGACTTTGAGTCCTCATCTCCTGCACTAAATAGTGGATTTAATCAGCAAATTACTCATTAGTTGGTTTGTAGCACTACTTGACTTTATTTTCCTGAACACAATGTAGTTTGAGTGAATTACAGAGGAGCAGAGCACAGATTAACACTGTTCTCAACAGATCCAAGGGAGACAGTCTTCTAGATCCTAAATATCAGTACAAAGGACAAACAGAGCTATTTCACAGAATCAGAATTTAAGGGTTGGAATGGACCTTACCACTTAGGGTTGGGGCAGCCACAGCCTCCCTGGGCAACCTGGGACAGTGTCTCACCACCCTTAGAGTAAAAATCTTTTTTCTAATATCTAACCAAAACTTCCCCTCCTTCAATTTGAACCCATTTCCCCTTGTCCTATCATTTCTTTGGCAAAGGTCCTACTGCCCATGAGCAGTAGCATATTTTAAAGTATACAGATAAGTTTCTGCTGGAAAACTAGGATATCCTTAGTATATAAGGGGCTATTCACAAGTTGGGTTTTTTTGAAACTGGGTGCTCTGATGCTATTTCAAACTTCTGTTTTCTTGGATCTTGCAGTGTGTTAGAGAACACCATGGAAAACGAGTGAAGTCCCCTGTAAAGTTCTTCACAGCTGCAGAAAATCTAGTATGGGTGACAGACATGCAATGAGAGAGGAAGCATTTATGAGATCCTACAATTTCCATTTCCATGATTTAAGGGAGCAGAAGGCAGGGCCAGAAATGTCTGTAAAGTTCATGTAATATTGAGCACGTGGAGTGCAAGAAGGCAAGTAGAGTGATGGAATAATCACAGGATCAGAGCACAGCTTTGGGACTGAGGGAGAAGCTGAAGAGACTAGAAGGAAGGATGAATGTCTGGGAAGTTCAGAAAAGCAGCTGGAGGAATTAGAAAACTATAGAAGATGTGAAGTTGGGTACGAAATTCAGCCTCAAATCCTGTCTGAGAGCAGTAATCCCCCAAATGAACCCAACAGCAGTATCAGTTTACTACCCTGATAAATATCCTTCCACTACATAACTGAGGAAGTATGAAAGGCTAAGTACTCATACCAAGATTGCTTTGCAGATGAATGAATCTCACTATACTGTTTAATTCAGAGTGATTCTTTGAACTTCCCCTGGGATAAATCATCTCAAAATGATCTTCTACGAATTCTTCTTCTTCAAGAATAAAGACTTGATAAATTTCTTGATTGCACCAGTATGTTAGGCTTAAAAAACATCTGTTCTTTAGCTGACACAAAGGTGACCATCCTTTTCCAGTGAAGCATTAGTGTCTGCCCAAACACCTGTGCAGCTAAGGATTCTCAGCTCCCTCTAATGTTGCTGTGTAGTCATTCAACACTAATTCTTACACATTTTCACAAAAAGGCAACTGAAACAGCTACTTAACCTTACTTAAAATATTTTTGCCCCAGATCGATCGCAAAGTTAGTTTCTACAATGTCTTTAAAAGTGAAATCTACGTTAAGAGATTGCTCTTTTTTTACCTTGCTGTTGGTTCACATGAAGAAGCAACTGGCAGCTATTGCAAAGGAATGTGTAGACAAGTAATAAATGATTGTTGGAGCTTCTTTTTGGCTATAGACAACCCCAATTCTTTATCTGCTGTCCAGGAAACTACTAGTCATAAGCAAGGGGAAAACTCAGCAGAAGCTGGCATAGGAATTTCACAGGCCATGCAGTTGTCTGTACAATGTATGATCAATGACAAGTAAATATAGGAAAATAGAACAGATTTATAACTCAAATTAATTTAGAGAAAATTCTCTCCAGAGCAATCTAAAGCATTCATTATTTTGACAGTGCATCCTTCAAGTCCAGGATCCAGAACTGCATTTTCTCAGTATTTTTTGTAACTTATTGATTCTTCTACTTTCTGTCTTTTTTTCCTCTGGTAAGTACTCTATTAAGTGGTATCTTGCTCTTCTCACTTTGACAAAGCTGTATTAAAGCTCCTTGTGATCAGCTGTACCATATAATAGACTTGTCCTGACCTTGAGTTCTCATGATTTCAGGATTACTGCAAAACTGGATTACTCTCTTCTCTTTGGACAGAACATATCTTTTTCAGACAAATATGGTCCACAAATATGCTTACCAGTTATGGGAAGATATTAAACTAATCAAATTGTTTTGAAATCCTTTTTTTCACCTATGAAAATACAGAACAGACCTACAGTTGTGTAAAGCACAGCTAGCAAAGGCTAGAGAACACTAAAATGAATGGACACATGGTAGCCCAGATTGTATTTTTACCCATGAGGAAAATGTTCAGCTAGGAAAAAAGTAAAGCTAAGACATACTTCTGCTGGTATTGAAATCAATGTTTAGTGCCTGGTGAAATTTTCCTACTGGGGAACTGAAAATGTGATCTCAGCCTCAACCTAATGATGGTTTCATTTGCACTGTACAAGTATTGCTGGATACTGTGAACTTTCTCCTAGTGCCCATTGATTAGTTCAAATCTAAACCAGTTGTACATTCCTAAGTTCATAAAACTTGACAACTCCTCACTGGTCACAGTCTATTCATGCACTTTGACAAACACTTCCCTTTGGAGTAACTTGGTCTGAGTCTGACAATCAAGAAATAGAAAGAAAAGTTATGGTAATATTAGCTCTGAGTTTTAAAGGGTTGAAAGGAAGATAGAGAAAACCATTAGTGAAACACAGTGGTGGTGAATTATAGCTGACACAAAACCCCAACTTTGGGCTCTTTATCATTCCTGTTGTTACATGCACTGGAAAGACATGAGGGTTTTGAGGTATCTCTGTTTTCAGTCACTTCTTTATTTTTCCCAGGAATCTGTCCAGGGGTTTAACTGTTTGATGCACCACAATCATGAGGAATCACTTTTTTTCCAGCAGAGGGAAGTATTGCCTAAGTATTCCCTTCACTTACAGCAAAATGGGCATTTTTACTTTTCTAATTGAAAGTCTTCTGAAAAGTTTGGCAACAAATTAGTAACTGTGCTAAGTTTATCAGTCAAACAAATCAAAAAAGGAAGATCTGATTGATACACTGTGAAAATGAAACAACTGGCAAAAAAACCCAAACCAAAATATGTCCAAGAAAAACTATGCTGAAAGTACATGGGACAGGTCTACTGCAAGGAACAGCCTGATCTTAAGAGCTTTAAATGTGACACCTACAACAAAAGACATTCCATATTTAGCCAAAGTAGTTACAAACACATTATCATCTTATGGAAACTATATAAAGCAACATGTACATACTTCTTGCTGTCCTGAAGGAGATACAACTCTTCTCTGATATATGCCTAACCTCATGGTATGGTATTATCAGGTAAGCCAAGAAGGAAAATTAAAATGCTTAAAACTGTTAACTTGAGGAAAATTGAAAAAAACACCCCAAACAGTCTTCAGTGTCTGATCCAGCCCGTTGTAAGCTATCTAAATTGGGATAATGATATATTATATTCATCTTTCACAGATGTTCGAGACAATTTCACCCACAAATCATTCACAGGCTTCCTATTCCACTTATGCACAGTGTGCAAATTATATACAAATTAGCTGCACTTGAGTGGTGCCCAAAACTCACCGTGATGCTGCAGGTCTGAGCAGTGGGTGAGTGGGTCACCATTTCGGATGTCTTGTCGCCTAGTACGTCTGCAAAGACATTTGAAATGTTAGTGATGACCTTCTCAGCTCCAAAAACACATTGGCTGTGACTAAAGGACCAACAAGCAGAGCATGTGTAGAATTACAGAGGTCACAAGTGCACCTAAACAACACTAGGAAGGAAATCATATTATTGTTACTATATTCTATTCATTGATAGAATTACAAAATCATAGAATTTTAGGGGTTGGAATGGAGCTCAGAGATGATGCAGCCCCAAGCCCTGCCCTGGGCAGGGACACCTCCCACCAGAGCAGGTTGCTCAAGGCTCATCCAACCTGGCTGTGAACACTGCCAGGGTTGGGGCAGCCACAGCCTCCCTGGGCACCCTGGGACAGGGTCTCACCACCAGAACAGGGAAAACTTCTGCCTAAGATCTCACCTAAATTTCCCTCCTTCCATTTGTGCCCTTTGCCCCTTGTCCTGTCCCTGCAGCTCCTAACACAGATCCCTCTGCAGCTTCCCTGGAGCCCCTTCAGCTCCTGCAAGGTGCTCTGAGCTCTCCACACAACCTTCTCTTCTCCAGGCTCAACAGCCCCAACTCCCTCAGCCTGTGCTCACAGGGAGATGCTCCAGTGCTCTGAGCAGCTCTGTGGCCTCCTCTGCACTTGCTCCAACAGTTCCATGTCCTTCTCAGGCTGAGGCCCCAGAGCTGTGTGCAGGATTCCAGGTGGGTCTCACAGAGCAGAGCAGAGGGGCAGAATCACCTCCCTTGCCCTGCTGCCCACACTCCTTTGTGCCCAGGGTTGAGTTGGTTTCTGGGCTGAGAGAATCAGCCTCTACACTTACAGGTAAAGTCTTCAGAAACTGGGAAATACATATCTCTTGCACTGAGCCTATGAAGTTTATTTTAACTGTGCTGGCAATATTGATCAGAGACAAATTCATCCCTTGAGTCACAGGTACAGGGACTGCTGAGGGACTAAAATACATATAGTACAGTTTAACATGCATCAAAACCCATGAAGAAGCTGCAGCTTTTCTGCAAGTACAGAGTACTTAGAGCATCGTGGCATCTTTTGGCTAGATTGACTATTAGGATGTCTGTCTTTGAAAGAATGCCCAAGTGCTGTATTTTCTGCAACATTTAAATGAAAATACATAGATAATTTCAGCCACAACAGATTTCCCCAAAACAATTCTGATTAAATCTTTTACAAATCTGTTGGAAAAGGCTTTGTCTTTAGAATAAACCACTTTGAAATGTCATTCATTCCATCTTTTGCAGCTCTGAGTCTGAGTTCTACCTTTGATTGCATGTCCTTTTAACATAGTATATTCTTTTCCCAGTTGGAATTCTACTGGCTCCTTTGAAAAACATATTGATCTGTGCTAAAAAAAAATAATAAATGTTGTATTTCAGAGAAAAGAGCTTTTTAATCCAGTTTTATTTTGCCTGTGTTGTTCTCTCTTTGTCTGCTCCTATTTTTATTTAAATAGCTGTGACACAAAATTCGATTGAGCCAGACCAAAGCTGTTCAGATGAAAAAAGGAAGCAAAAAAGAACAAGGCAAACAAAGATGTGTTTCAGTGTGAGCACTTTACTTTAGGAAGCAAAGAAAGCCTGGAGGGCTTGCAAAATTAGGGGAGAACAAAGAGGATTAGGCTGCTGAACAATGTTGCATTTCAGATTATTGGCATCCAGCAACGGATATGCAAAAGTCAAGTAGCCTTGTAAAAAGCTCTGTTGGTCACTCCCTGGTGACAGTAGCACACATTTTTAAAAGCCATTGTTCTGCAGCACAGAGACCATCTCCCTCCTCTCCAGCAGCCTGATTTGCAAGCTCTCACCATCAGCATCAGCACGTACCAAGAGTTCTCACAACTGCACAGTTGACTCCTCTTGACTCAAAGATTTTAATCTTATTTTTTTTCACACTGACAACTGCTGCAGTGTTAAACCTGAAATTAGTTATGCCAAGGACAGCAACAGCTGAATAAAAATTTCTTTTAAATGATGCATTAAGACATAGAATCATAGAATTTAAAGGTTGGAATGGATCCTACAGATCACCTAATCCCAACCCCTGCCCTGGGCAGGGACAGCTCCTCACTAGATCAGGTTGCTCAAGGCCTCATCAGTGCAGAGTGAATGGAAAGCAGTGATGGTTCTGACCTGGTAGCACTTGGAGACACATCAACACATACAAGTTTTACTGTTGAATAAGCAACAGCTAAAATTTCTTTTAAATGATGCATTAGGACATAGAATCATAGTATTTAAGGGCTGGAATGGATCCTACAGATCACCTAGTCCCAACCCCTGCCCTGGGCAGGGACAGCTCCTCACTAGATCAGGTTGCTCAAGGCCTCATCAGTGCAGAGTGAATGGAAAGCAGTGATGGTTCTGACCTGGTAGCACTTGGAGACACATCAACACATACAAGTTTTACTGTTGAATGGACATAGAATCATAGTATTTAAGGGCTGGAATGGATCCTACAGATCACCTAGTCCCAACCCCTGCCCTGGGCAGGGACAGCTCCTCACTAGATCAGGTTGCTCAAGGCCTCATCAGTGCAGAGTGAATGGAAAGCAGTGATGGTTCTGACCTGGTAGCACTTGGAGACACATCAACACATACAAGTTTTACTGTTGAATAGTAACAATAATGTTATGTATCACTAAAATAAGTTGCCACTGATGTCCAAACACTTCATAAATATTTCTTTTTGATTAGAATCCATGAAAATGCAGGATAATTTACCTGGACAAGTAGTTATTTTATCTTGATTTCAAGCCTTGAGTTAGAGAAAACGATTTATTTTTTTTCTTTTTGCAGTTTATCAAGGAGTATAAAGTTCCGAATCCATTTCAGAGACAACTCTTTTCTGAATGTTTTCTTACAGGAGCTTTTTAAGCTAGCCCAAGCAGTAGCAGTGGTCACTTTAAATCAACCAAGACTTCATATTGCATGTAACTACCACAATGATGTTTTCTTTGGAAGAGAAAGAGCTCCAACTAACCATCCCATGAAAAACCTCCAAAGCCCTGTGGTCATTGTAAGACCATCAATGCAAACAAATAGCAAACCATGCAGACATCCCAAACTGTCCATACCTCTTAGCAGTGGGGAAGTAACGTGAGCAAGATGAACCATCCCAGGCACAGTAAGGGTCTCGTGCAAGGCAACACTCAGCACATGCTTTTCCATACACGTCACAGCGGTGCAAAGGAAGCTGTGAAACTCCAGTGGCTGAGCCAATGTAGAGCTGTTGCTGTTATTAAAAAAAAAAAGGGGGAAAAAAAAGGTGTAAAAATATTGCAATTACTGTTTCAGTTTTCTAGGAAAGAATAAAAAGGTTAGAGCCATTAGAAATATAATGAAGGATGAGGACTAGAGGGAATGGTCATAAGCTGAGACAGGAGAGTCAGACTAGATGTTAGGAACAATTTCTTCACTGTTAGGGTGTTGAGGCCCTGGGATATTGCCCAGGGAGGTGGTGCAGTTACCATCCCTGGAGGTGTTTCAGAGGTGTCTGATGTGGCACTGGAGGATCTGGTTTAGGTTTTAGGGGTTCCACCAGTGACAGGTTAATGGTTGGACTCAATGATCTTAGAGGTTTCCTCCATCCTTGATCATTCTGTGATTCTAAGGATCATGACCCTCATGTACACCAAATGAATGAGAACAAAACTGTCCCTGTGGTAAAACCAAAAATCAAAGAGGAAGAACTATTTTTGCATGACGTCCTCGGTGGATTCTCTAAGCAGTAAGAAAAATTAAAAGTACTCTTCAATTTTTTCTTTGGTATTCAGGTCCCTACTTCTCGGTGGATTCTCTAAGCACTAAGAAAAATTAAAAGTACTCTTCAGTTTTTTCTTTGGTATTCAGGTCCCTACTCTGGGAAAGCACTAGAGTCACTGACAAAACACAGTGGAGAATATACTTTTGAACACAAGCAAAAACTTCAACCTAAATTTCCTAGGTCTGACCTTGATTTTTTTTGTGTGTGTGTGTGTGTGTGAGGGGGAAACCTGAAGCAAATGATTTCAGACTGATGCTAAGATATTTCAGTTTGGAAGTGCTGCCATGCATGTACTTCTTTGCATGTCTGGCAATTCTGTCATTTTGCACTCCTGTTTATAGGTCACATACCCTGACTGGAACACATCTTTGATGAGGCTTTACTTTATTTTGGATAAAACCCAGTGTTTACTAGAAGATGCAGTTCAAAAGCAGAGAGAGGCCATGAAATAAATAAAAAGATATGCACACAAAATGAGCTACAGTCTTGCATGGCATCACAACAGAATATCTTGTCTCTCTCAATTTCCTCTCTGATATCAAATTCATGTGGCTCACTAGGGAAGTTGGTCCCCAGAGGGATATGAAGGGGCTGAACTTCTGATCCCATGTGAAGTCCAAACAGATATTTCAGCTTAGCACTCACTCACAAAGGAAACGAGTATGAGTAAGATGCAAAACTCAGGGAAAACAAAATGGATAAACAAAACTTCAATGGCATAATCCTTCATTTTTGGAAACACTGTCACTTGGCTATTCAGAGGCTGAAACTGTGTCATCTAGCACACACAGTGGAGCAATGACCTTCTTTTGGAGGTCCTACTCCATCCAAGGAGTCCCACCAAGCCAATACAGATTTGTATTTATTTTTCTTTCTTGGAAAACATAAAGCATGGGTGAAAAACAGGATTTCAAGAAATGTTATAGAAAATTCTTCATCTCTTGCATCTTCATGTCCCAGAGGTACCATCTCCAGGGAATTTGAGGATGGAAGATGGCTGAGGTCAACTACCTGCTAGAAATGATGAGTACTGAACACCAGGAGATAGCAACACCAAAAACACTTCTAAAAGGTGTTGTGTTAACTTCTTTCAGAGACAGCAGCTTGGCACTCTATCCAGACATATTAATTGTAACAGAAACATCCCGTGCATTCGTATAAACACCATTTTTTTCTCAAGAGAAATATGATGAAGAAAGCACCCAAATGAAAATTCACTGGTAAATTGAAAACTAAACCCTTCTTTAGCACCTGCTTCCATCTATTATAAGTTCCATATAGTAAATTGAAAACTAAACCTTTCTTTAGCAGCTGCTTCCATCTATTATAAGTTCCATATCTGGGTTGTAAAGCCACATTGTCCAGGCAAAAATCTCTGACCACACAGAGCTCTACACAAAGCCTTAACTGAACATACCAGTGCCAGTTAGTGTTGTAGCCTCAAGAAGAGGTGACAGGCAACAGACATGAGAAGCTTATTCTCTCTAACTTGAGTCACTTAATCAAGTACCCAGCTTAGGGTATGTCCTGCAGGAAAAAGAGCAGCACTTCAAATCTTAGGTGACCTAACTGTTCTCAAGGGATGCCTCTTCTCTTTACTGATTATGGAGGCAGCATAGGTCAAATTAGAGCTTCAGTTAAGTATCTTAAATGTCCAGATGGTATTGATCTGGGTCCTGTGTAATTGGGGCATTAATATCTGTGGAAACATGTAGGAATGTGTGGTACAACTAATATAAAAATCGACCCAGCGAATGCACATGGGAAAACAAAAAAATGGTGTAATGGTTTCCTATGTAATTCTGTAACCAATTTCATTTTGTAAAAAAAAAAAAAAAAAACCACCTCCTGATTTCTAATAAATGTCTTTAGAATTAAAGAATGACCAGAAACATATAAGAAAAAAAAAATCCCTATTTTGAGGCCAAAATAGGGTTACCTAAAGACTCTATTCTTGTAGAAAAATTCATATTTCAGCCAGTGAACTGCAGCATGAACTGTGTTTCAGGTGCTGCACAGCCTCAAGGCTGTTGCCCTGTTTGCTGCCCATCTGATCATGGTTTTAGACTCCAGCTGGTGATGGTTATTCTGGACACTAATAATATATACATCCAGACAGTATGAAAATCAGAAAATAGTAACAGAATTATTTGCATCGATGCTCTGACCTTACTTTGCCATACACAGTCAAACTGCCCTTTGGGCGAAGAGTCTCTCTCCCAAGACATTGTTAATTTAATGAATGAGCTGATTATCAGATCAAGGCAGAGAGGGAGGAAATAAAGGGTGTCCTCTAAAACTTCTTCCAGAAGTATTAGAACTCAAGAAAAACTGAGGAGATTAGTATTTTAAGCAATCCAGTGATTTATGGTTGCCCCACAGTGCTGCCCAAAAATCAGCATTTAACCTAGTCAGTCAAAGAGATTACAAAATTGTCCATTTGGAAACTTTTTTTTTTTAAAAAAAAGAGAGAGATGAAAAAAAATAAGTAATACTTAAAAAGAAGAACTCTTTTGGTGGAGTCACCATCCCTGGAGGTGTTTAAGAGATATCTGGGTCTGGTGCTAGAGGATCTGGTTTAGGGTTTAGGGGTTCCAGCAATGACAGGTTAAAGGTTGGAATTGATTTTAAAGGTCTCCTCCAACCTTAATGATTCCATGATCCTATGACCTGGCCTGTATCAGCTAAGGATCTCCTTGTCCTTTTCCCATCTCACCAGAAATCCAATGGGTTTGAATCAGAGCATCACAAACCTGATCCTGAGAAAAAGATGAGAGTTCTTCACAAAAAGTCACCTTTGATTGAAAGCCAAGTCTGACTTTTTGGCCTAGTTCCACGTTTCTAAATCAAGGAAAACTTAACCTGACAGGTTTGGGGCCAAATGGTAGCCAGGGTCTCCCCCAGAATTGGCAATTCAGACAGCTGCAGGGTGCTGCAGTGGCTCAAGGATTTTGTCCTCTGAAGTTTGTGTCTATTGCTAACCATGTGTATGCTGTTTAACTGATAAGGTTACACAAGCCTAGGGCTCTGAACACAATTAGGAAGGATATGTAGCTTCAGTGAGAAAATACAGATGCAATTCCTGTGAGTTACAGACAGCAGAGTGGGGAAAGACTGTATTAAGGCTTAGTCTTGTACATAAAGGCTAAATTTCTTGCTTAAAGCCACTCTTAGAACCATAGAATCATCAAGGTTGGAGGAGACCTCTAAAAACATCAAGTCCAACCATTAACTGCCACTCTGCTGTAAGACTCTTACTCAGGTGCCAAATTCATACTCAGAGAGACACAGGAGCCTTAGAGCTTTAGCTAATTTAAAACATCAGCTAAGTTCTGCTCCTGAAGAATTTGTAGATTTTGGCCTTTAGGAAGACTCATTTGTAATGATGGCAAAAGAAGGAGCTTTGCACCACCAGAGCAGTAAACCACAAAGGAATAAGAAGGAACTCCCTGTACCATGTTTTTATGACTGGATGAAAGATTTGTTAGTGCAAATCCCTAAACAAAATGATTGCTCTTAAGACATCCAATAGGACATGCTGGTTTTGCTGTTTTCATTTCATGCTCCTGCTTTCTACAATGCATAGAATTATGGTGCTGTTTATATGGAAACTGCCCTGCTTATCAGAACACAACGAGTAAAGTGTTTGAGCTCTAAAACTACAGTATTTTTCAATCATAAATGCAAAATGGAAACATGTTGCCATATACTTATTTGATACATACTGCCAAAATCTTGTCATAGTGTATCATGAGTCTGTCATTTTTAGCCTGAGGCTGCTTGATTTTTCATGAGTTTTCCTCTGCCTGAATAACTTGTGTTTTATGCTCTTTTTTAGCTTTAGACGATTTTAGCAGTGTAAATTTGTTTTCAAAAGACTCAGGGAAAATTGTAATCTCTCCTGAATAACTAAAGATGCTTTGAAGAAGAAGAAGCTGTATGAAAACGCACGATCAAATTTCAAATATGATTGGCTGCTTTAAGGGAATGTACTTATAAAAATAATCCAAAGCAGAGCATTTTGGTGTGATGGGAACATATATACAACTTGACAGGTTTGTTTTTATATATCCCAGTATTCAATAGCACCTTTTTTTTTTTTTTACTGCTGTTTTTGTTGGTTTAGGTGGCAAATGATGTAAGAAGACTGTGTCCCTCCCCAAATGTTTTCTTCCAAATACACGAATGCTTTCAGACAATTTTCCTAACTACAGTGAATTCAGAGTGAAATATGCAGCATTTCAAACATAATATTGGGCTCTGTCCATTACAGAATGAATTCCACTTCTGTTTAGGAACGTATAGAGTGAGGGAGATGAGTTAACTAAATCTTATTTATAGCACACACGATTTTTAGTGCATGTAGTCCTGGAGGTATCATAGCATCATAGAATCAACCAGGTATATAGCACACACGATTTTTAGTGCACCTAGTCCTGGAGGTATCATAGAATCATAGAATCAAC